TGTTAAAGCATTGGATTGGGTTCAATAGACATCCTTCTGGACAATGCGTTGGGTTTTATTATGCCTGTCCATCATATTGTTGCACACCTGATCTTGACCACAATTCCCAGGTGATGGGCTCCCAGGGACCCAGGAATTCAGTGTATGACCACTAAATGAACTGTTGAGCTGATTTACATGATGTGGAGGCTAAGAGTACGCAGAGAGCTGCAGCCACTTTGGGACAAGGTAGCTCTGTAAGGTCCTCAGTCCCACTCCTCTCTAGCTCACTGCACTGCAGCATGGTGAATGTATTCTGTGCAGGTTGGCTGGGGTAGCTCTTCCATGAGCCTACAGCAGGTTAAACCTGGGAAAGGTTTCTTTACATTAGGAAGTATCAAATACCAACTCATTAGTGTGAGGGCTGGAGAGCCTCAACACCTTCCTGTCCTGGACGGGCCACATCCAGTATCTCCCTACAGCCTGGTTTTATCTCCATCTTTGTGTATAGAACAGAATAGTGAAGTTACAGAGATGAAGCTCTCACTTTTGAAAAATATGAAACACATGCCACACCTCCAAAATTTCTTCAGCCACCAAGCTTGGGACATCCACAGCCAGCAAAGTTGAGGACTCAAATCCAAAAAGACACAGCCCTGTCTGAAACACCTACACCATCATCCCCAGGGCAGAAGCCCACACCATGGAATGCTCAGTGATGCCTAACCAAGCCACACACAGCAAATCCCCACCGTATTTGCAGAAGATGAAAAAGGGCAAATAAAGTAAAAAAAAAAAAAAGTTTAAAAAAAAAAGAAAAAAGAAAAAAGGGCAAGGAATTCTCTCTCCCTTTTATGGGGAGGGAAGGATCCAGGTTAAGAAAACTCTGACCACACTGACTGTCTGGGGAAAAGGCATTCCACTGAACTGGTTAGGCAAGGGGCTGTGGGAGGACGGCTTGCTCAGGGGCATGAAAGGAAGGTATGTACAGGAGGAGGGGGATGAGCTGCTCCATCACTGGGGACAGCACTCCTGCTGCCACCAGCAAGGTCGCCAGTGCCCTGGACATGCTTCTGGGATAGTGGCAGAAGGCTTCTAGACTCTGCAAACCCCTCAAATAATGCTGCATGCTGCCTGCTAAAGTCCTTAGCCCAAACAGGGTTTGTTTGGGTCCAAACTAGCATCTCTTAGCATTAGTGAGCAATTTTAAGGACACTCAGGAAGTGAAGCAATTTTGCACCTGGTATGACAGGCTGACAGCACACAGAGAGGGCCTCCAGGGCAATGCAGGGGTTATTACACCACCATACAGCTCATTTCTAGAGATGTCTCCAGACCACTCCTCCCTGTAGTTCCAGGGGGATTTAGTTAGTCAGGAAAAAAAGCCAAATCAAACCAAAGAAACTCCTACAACACCCATGGTTGCTGGCTACATCCTTCATCAGGTAATAGGCTGGGGACCCACCTTTTTTGGTTGGTCTAGCAAATAGAGGGTGGCCTACAGGAACAGACATTCAACTTACCTTCCTGGCCATCTGCAGCTCCTTCCCCACACCAGGGCCATAGCAGAGACTAAATGTTCTCTGCACCCACAAGACCACCAGCCCCTCACTCCAGTTATGCAAAAAGGCAGATCTATGCTGGGATTTCCCAGCCTGACTGTGATCAACGTCATGGGAGAGGAAGGGACACAGCCATCAGCATCACAGATGTCCAGGACATTGTGAAAGAGCCAGTCACAAGGCACACAGCTGGGAAAGCCTGCTAACTGTCTAATGTCACACCAGACCCACAAAACCTCTTCCTGTCCCATTCAGGTCTTTTCATCCCAAGGTAGAAAATGGTGATCAGCATCCTTACATCTTTCTTATATGGGGCACAGGAATAATATTTCTTCCTTATAAACAAGAGTGTGAGAACTGTAAGGTCTTGGCTCAGCACAAGACAGAGCTGTAACTCAGATGAGGTGTTTCCTTGTTACCCAGTCTTCTTTTCCAGCTCTTTCCTCAGATAGTTGCATTTTCAAGGCAACAAACACAACCGATGGGTTCAGCAAAGCTGGACTCATGCTCAGTTTCCAGCCCACCAGTGGGACAGATTCTTCAGCTCTGAGCACTGTAGCTCCTTCCCCATTGCCAGCTCTGTTGTGAACAAACAGCTGTACCCCACTAAAAATGAAATAATAAAGAAATAGTAGCTCTCTCACAAACACAACTCTTGGAATCAAGGGTGGACATCTTTCAAGTCTAAAAGCTTAATTTTCCAGCCGTAAGTTGCAAGAAGGTGCAAAGCTTATTTTAAAAGCTGACTAGGATTGCCTTGAAGTCCTTGTAGGGACAATTGCTTTAAATAAACCAGTCCTAATTGCTTTGCACCTATTTCGGTCTCACATGGTGGTACATTTTAGAGAAAAGCTGTCCTTGCTCTTTTCCTAAGACAAATGTGATAATAAAAAGCTCTCTGCCTTGATCTCACTGTTCATCTTCCAGGGCCCCTCTGTTTCTGCTGCATTCCTTTGTGTTTATCTGCCCTCTTCAACTCTTTAGCTGCGATCAGCTGCATGCAGCACCTCGTGCTTAGAAGTGACATGACTGGGGTTACAGGAGAGACAGGTGGAAAGGGAGCTCTTGCCCTGAAGCTATCCAAAGAAAAAGAGAAGCTGCAGGGGAAGAGGGTTGTAAGGTATTTCAGATTAAAGCAAACACCTTGCCCCAGGCTACACATTCTCTGCCAATGCAGGCTGCAGCGGCTGCGAGCCCCAGAAACAGCAAAGCAAACACGGGCTTCTCTGCAAGGGGGAGTTGTCACCTGTCAGGGATGTTTGCAAATTTATAGGGAGGTGGTGGTGGTGGTGGTAAGGGGAGTAAAAAGAGCTTTCCTCATTTTAAAAGACGGGCTGTTTGCACAGGTTTGCAGTGCATATTTTGCTTTGTAAAGGCTTTTGTCCAGCATTCAACTGAGGTGCTGTCTTCCACCGAAGACAAACTGGAACATTTATTAATGTACATACCTTAATGTACTCTGAGCTGCTGCCTTACAGTAAGGGTGAGGATGGGATGGAATTTCCCTGCTCCCCCTTCAGCTCGTCATATCAGTGAAAAACCCTTTTTAAAGAAGTTACTGTGCAGCTCAGCCTTTCCAGAAATACCTCCTGCAAGGCTGGGATCAAACCCATCATAAGCAAGAGGTAATTGCATAGCAAAAGCTGCCTGCCCTCCTCTCCTAGCCCCGGGGCTCACTTCAGCCATTCTCAGAGAGAACAAGAGGAAGGGATTTTCCATTCATGTTTCACTGCACCACAGATAGGAAAAAGACTGAACAAGAGCTTCCAGTGAGCCCATCAGCTACCACAGTGCTCTGCAGGCATTTCAGAGGAGCTGGAGATGGGGAGGTTTTGCTTGTACTCAACATAGCTAGTGCTAGAGCATGGAAGGAGAAAGATTTCTGCTGACGATGTTTAAATTGTCAAGGATTGTTTCTTAAGGAGACATAGCTCAAAGAGAACATTATCAGCCACTTTGAAAATTAGGAGTCCCTCTAAGCATGAAGAATATTTTGGACTAGCTACTGAAAAAACAGCATTTTACTGGGGCTGTGCCATGCTGTTGGGAAAAGGTGAGATCCAGATGCTAATTGAAGGCTTGTACACCACCTGCCTGTGCCCAACTTGAATGCAGAATCAAAAGATAACCTGACTTGTCAGTCACGCCTCCTTGTGCACTTGGATTAGCTTCCACCACCCCAGCCAAGCACATACCCAACCTCAAAGTGGCCTTTTAACCCTTTGTGACATCACAAGGAAAGATAAGAGTACTGCAGTCTCCCTGGCATACAAGGAGCACCAGTACCAGGTCAAGCCTCCTGTCAATGGGGACTGCAATCAGCAGGACCTGGGAGCAATTTCTTTGCAGATGCGATATCCTCCAGATTAGTAATTGCCAGGATGCAGGCTGCCAACAAGCCATTGTTGGCCACATGAAAAATAGTGGTTGATTAGCCAGGGAATTAATTGACACAGTTTCTCAGGATGGAAACACAGAGGAACAGGAAAATTTACACGTGCCAACACAAATTTCAAACCAGCCATGATTTTTACCCCAACATATACAAAACCCGTGAAGAACAAAAAGAAGACATGAAAAGCTCAAACTCCTGAACTACCTCCTGCTCCAGCCTGCAAGAACAGCTCCTGGTTTCTTCAAAGCTATTGCTAAGAAAAAGCTGATCAGTTTGTGCTAAAGGCGATGAACCTGCAATGAACCACCAGTGCCTCATCTACATTCTGGTTCATCTATACTGGCGAGACACCCACAGCCAAGGCTGGCTGCAAACACTCTCTAGCTTTGCCTATCTGGAGATACAGAATAAGGGGGGGGGGGGGAGGAGAACAAACAAAAAACCCACAGGAAAAAAATAAATACAAAAAACAGCTATGGCCTGAAACCAATTTTTTATTCATATCTGACCTTCAAGAAAAGAAAAACCCGGCAATAACCCCTGCCCTTGATCAGCAAAATTGCAGCTGTGCCCAGAATACCAATTATCTTAGCTACTTTATCCCTCTAGCTCTAAACAGGGAAAGAGCAATGACAGTTGAGCGACCAGGCAAGTGCATGAGACTCCTCAGCTCTTCTGCCTGTTTAGATGCTTTATCCCTCTCTCCCACCATTGCAGAAGCAGGAGAAGAAGAGTAGGTAATGAGCCAGCCTGCTCCCCCTTGCAGCACTTGGGAGGCATGGAAGGGTGGAAGCCTTTCCAGGGGCCACACACCGTCCAGCTTAGCCACATGTACAGAACCTCTGCTCACCACCACCAGAGTCACTTCGCAAAGCCATGCTCCCAACCAGCTTCTGTGAGTGGGACACCACAGGCAAAACAAGACGGAACTTCCTGGGTCAGAGGCAGTGGCCACAGCTCCTCCATCAAGAGGGAAAAGATGACCCCAGGGCACTGCAGCAAGAATAGCTCCTGCAAACACTCTTCATCTGTCCCCAAAGGTTAAAGAAGTTCTCACTACTCACCCACATTGGGTCATTCAGCTCTGTGTCCTGCACCCGGACACAGTCCATGCTGATCTCTATTTTGTTAGTAGGTCCATTTTCAGATGGGCTGTCGATGAAGTTTAAATCAATTGGTTGAACCGAGCATATTGGCCTGAAAAGAACAGAGTAACACAGTTAAAATTGGCCAAATTCCATTTTCCGTTTCCCACCTTGTCCTCCATGCTAGGGTGTCACCCAGGACTCAGGCATGACCACAGACCAGTCTCAGGACAAAGTAAGTAATTACTAATGGACAACTACCTCATCACCTGCTATGCTAACAGCAGTTCCTGAACAGGACAGAGCCTGGAGGGACATTTCACTTGTCTGACCAGAAAAGTTAGGTAGGAGCACAGGAGTTAAATCACTGAAAGACAGAACTTGTGGAGGATTTATAGCAGTAACTGTCTCAGCATCAGTCATGGCAAGTCAGGAATGGGAAAAAAGTTGGTTTTATTTCCATCAAAGGACCTGATTGGATGAACTCTGTACAATCTCCATCTCCTGTCCCTCCATGGCATCAGCAAGAGAGGAAAACATGCAGCTTGGACACAGAGCAATGAATCCATTTCCTTAGGGGAAAATGCCAACCACCAGAGGTCTTCAAGAGAGTGACTGTTACTACTGATCTCTGCACCTGTTTCCCATAGCCTGGATGTAGAAACTCTGGAGAGCTCAAGAGTTGTCAGTCATCACAGACTCTCACCCACATCTTCTAATCAGTAAGTGCAGAAGACTCCAAATACCCCATCATCAGTCTCCTGAGCAGCCTAATTATAGGGACATCCTGTCCCAAAGCACTTTCTGCTACAGGTTCTGTGTAAGGGCTACTTACTGTTCCAGGAAGTCCCAGATATGCTGGAGTACCTCTGGGCTGAGGAATTCCCTGGGCTGCGAGCTCTGGGACATGGCTGATCGGTAGTAACTCTCCTTCCAGGAAAAGTGGCTCGGAGTTTCTACAAACCTTAAAAAACAAAAGCAAAAAAAAAAAAAAAAAAGAAAAAGAAAAAAATGCACACACAAAGCTATGTTGAATGTGATGTGTGAGCCCAAATCAATGAAATCCCATAAACAGAAGCTATCGTGTGAAATAGGAAACACACTGAATGCCTAGAACATTCACAGCTGTACACCACACATTCCACACTGCTGCAGATGCTGTATTTAGACAGAAGAAACTTCCCAATAAGTTAAATACCTCTTAGAGTTCACTGGGATGCTGTGTCATGAGAATCCCTGAGGAGAACAAAAAATAAAAATCCTACCTTCTGTTTTACCCCCAGATAAGCAACTGCCCACAAAAAGCGGGCAGCCTTTGCAGCAGGTGGAGCACCTCCATGCAATTTTACTGTCCCTAACTGGTTGCTTCTCTAGATTGCATGCCCTTGGATGATTTAGCTGATGTTTCCTATAACCAGCCACTGCAGATGAGGTCTTGTACTAAAATAAGAGTGGGTTGGTTTTGAACAAATGAATAGTAACTTCATTTTCTATGGTAATAAGTTCCATCACATCAGACTATATCTATGGCTTTTCTACTGCCTTCTTGCCTCCAATTATTTCCTAGTCCAGCCAGCTGATTTCTGCCAGATCTGCTAATTACCTTAGCCATTTTTATCCCCTTAAGCTCCCACAAGCCTCACAGAAATAGGTGGGCCCAAGAGGAGCAGTGACGAAGCTGGAGCACTCGCGCTTTCCACAGCTGCACATTCTCATCCCACTGGCCAATTTCTAAATTCAAACTCAGCAGCTTTTACGCCCGTGTCAAAATACTCAATGGCTGCAGGGATGTAAGGGGTGGGGGGCGGCAGGAATTTCTTGGGTGTATTTACAGTTGGCAAAATCTCCGGGGTCGACTTAATTGGAGTAGGAGGCAGGTGAATGCCTTTCCTGCTACAAGGCCCGGGCACCCTGCAAAACGTTCACACACAAAAGAGTTGTTTTGGTGAACGGCCACGCTCCCTGCTGGGGGAATGGCTGGGGAATGCTGTGGCAGGAGCCAGGGCTATAAACTGTTTACAAAGAGAACTGGATTAACGTTTGATTTGGCTCACTTTGGTGCTGTTCAGCACAATGGTCTAACCAGCTGCATGGAAGACCCTAAATTATTAAGCTCCTAAATTAAGAAAAGGTGTTTTAGAAGGAAGATCATAGCGCAGTTGTTATTTTCCTCTACTCTTTCCTGAAGTATCTGTTTCTGGGTGCTGTCAGAGAGGAATCTAGCTCTATTTACTGAATTTGTATGGTCTCTTCTGTTTTGAGGATGTGTCTGGTTTGCAGAAAGCATGGCTTTCCTCACCTATGCTGCCCACAGAACTGCAAGCCCTTTGAAAAGGACAGTTTTCCTAAACTAACAAAACCCAAAGCTGTTTCAGCCCCCAGAGCCACAGCTGGGCATGCGTTCAAAATAGGTGAGAGCATCAGTTCAGCTGCTTTTTGTGATTAAGAAAAAGAACTCAAGCTCATGAACAGCCAGAGATAAAAATACAATTCAGAAGTGTCATAGCTAATAGCTCTGCCTCACAGATGTGAGCGCATACCCACACTACATATGAATAAATAATCACAAATCCTCTGAGAATAGCAGTTAACCCACAAAGTATTAGAAATTACTACTTTCAAACTTTCAGTCTGGTAAGGCACTTGCAAGAGTGCCATGTTGAAACCCAGAAGAGCAGATCTCACCTAAGCCTGCAAATCAACACTACCACAAGCTCTAGAGAAGAGTAATAGGGAGTATATGCTCCAACCCACAGAGCCCAGGCACCACTCAATACCCTGCACTCAGTCCTGACCTCCAAGGAATAAGCAGAGACGCCACCAAAGTGCTCATTATTTACCACTTATAACAACTGCCCGTGACTTAAGCACTAGAATGACTTTTTCTGAATCCATTGCCAAGGTATCCACACAAGGCTCATTACTATGTACACAGGAGCCAACCCCACCAAAATGACTTGTTACAAAACAGACCTTCCTCAGAGACCTTTCTTTCAGAAAGTCTCAGTGTCACAACATGCCCAAATTTGGTTCACAGCTCCACAAAGTCCTAGGTCTCAAGAAGGCAAAGCTACCCAGTGTGGTCCTACTCAGCTGCAAAGCAGAAGTTGGTTATCATAAGCCTACCCCAAGCAAGCACTCCCCACAGTGCCCACAGCCTGCAGCACAGGAGAGGAAGGAGGTATTAGCTGCATAGACTGATGTAGCCAGATTTGTAATTCTATGCCTCTGAAGCTAACAGAGCTATTGTAAAGAGTCACACCAGTTAAGGACACAACAATTTCATGCCTGTACTAAACACAGCCTCAAATTTCTTCAGAGAAAGGCATTTTCCAGCTGTGTCTTCTTTATCCCTATGCTCAACCAAGCTCCTCGCTTACCAAGAAAAGAATTACCAGATCCTACCCTATAGCCAAAACCAGATGTGTTTTCCTATACTATACAAAATAAGTTCCCTGATTAATATTTTTACATAAGCAAAATCTGAGAGACTTCTTCAACACTATCTTCAACACCTTTACTACCCGTACAGCTCTATTTTTAAAGGAGGCTGCAGGATCAGTTGCACCTATGAGAAGGAAGACAGGCTGAGAAAGTTGGGGCTGTTCAGCCTGGAGAAGAGAAGGCTGCGTGGAGACCTCATAGCAGCCTTCAAGTATCTGAAGGGGGCCTATAGGGATGCTGGGGAAGGACTCTTCATTAGGGAGTGTAGGGGTAATGGGTTAAAACTTAAACAGGGGAAGTTTAGATTGGATATAAGGAGGAAATTCTTTCCTGTTAGGGTGGTGAGGCACTGGAATAGGTTGCCCAGGGAGGTTGTGAATGCTCCATCCCTGGCAGTGTTCAAGGCCAGGATGGACGAGGCCTTGGGTGATATGGTTTAGAGTGAGGTGTCCCTGCCCATAGGAGGGGGGTTGGAACTCAATGATCTTAAGGTCCTTTCCAACCCTATCTGTTCTATGATTCTATGATACAGTATTACAGAGGTAGAGAGAACTGCTTTTTTGCTGTTTGGTGCATCCTGCTCTCGGGTGGGAAAAAGCTGCCAAGTTGCAAGAAAATCAACTTTAGTTCAGCACAAAGCTTCACACAGCTGAATTGTCTCCTTCCCTGTGATCTTAATATCTAAATCTACTGACATTTTTCTTAACAGCTTTCAACATAGAGTAGCTGCCTCTGTGTACTCCTCTACAGAATACCTAAGTGCCCAGATTTGCTCTTCCACAAAAACAGCTAAAGCCTAACCAAGATCTATGTATGCATTTCACTACTTTAGTTGTCTTTTCCTATGTCGGCAAATACTCAGCTTCAGTAAAATAATCACTGACTGACTGAAGTTAATCACAAGATAGCAGCAATTTGCAAATTGCTCCTACCAGCTGCTTTTTTTTTATTAAAAGACATTTAAATAACATCACTTTTACCCACAACTCATCACAAAGCACATTGTGGGAGGCACTACCAAACACAGGCTGTTACACTAACTACTGTGACAGAACAAAGCATATAGTGAATATAGTCTAGCTTGTCCTCCACATTAAGTCTACAAGCTAATTTCCTGCATTAACTGCTGAAATAGTTAGCAAGCAGCTTGCCACAAGCAGAGAGCACTAACTGCACTAGTTTGGAACTGCAGAGGGATTTACAGCACCCTTGAAACTCCAAGCTGAATAGAACATTGCATCCACAATCTCCTCCTTTAAAAAACAGTAGGGGATTATTACTTAATAAAAATTGCAGGTTAAACTTTCTCTGAAAACCAGCACCTCACCATAACCACACTGTTTCCCTGAGCAGTGCTGGGGCACTGCTCCTGAAACACTGAATCCCAGGACAGGTTTCAGTCAGCCATGCACTCCCACTAAGGTCTAGCTCAGCTCCATCCTATTTATTTTGCTCAAGTGAGAGCACCCCAGACTGCAGGTGAAAGCACTTTTCAGATACACTTGGTGAGCTGAAGCCTTGGGCACTCTGTTTCCCTGCCTCTTGATCATTTCCCCAGAAGAGCTGCATTACAGCCCATTGGAGTAGGGCTGCACCCCAGCTGATTCAGTTTGTCATCACACTGCTGAGTGAGATCTCAAAAACTGCAAAACATGGCAATGCGAGCAACATGCCCCTACAGCTGTACCCACACAGCACTCAACATCAGGGTTTCCTAGAAAGTTGGCAATGTTAACCTTCACCAAAAAAAAAACCCAGACCAGAACCCAAACCAAAATCCTGAACCAAAGGCCACCCCAACAAAAGCCGACAACCAAACAAAAAAACACTAGCAAGAGCAGCATTTGCCTTTCATGAGCCTTAGCCCATCTGTACTGCTATTGCCCTTTCCTGGAGCCAAGTGTCCCAATGCATGTGGAAACAAAGTCCTGACTGCTTGGCCCAGCATGACACAAACTGGTGGCAAACCAGACAGAAAACAAGACATTTCTGCTCCCACTATCTCACTGCAAGCACATGCTTCCACTCTTCACCACATTTCCCCCCTTCCTACCTTCACATCAAAGACATTAAAGAAAAGCAAACGAAAAAGCAAAAAAATCCAAACCACTTTCCACACCAGAAAAGTGATAGAAAACTATTACATTCAACTATCAAATGCAGCAACACTTCTCACCCCAAAAGCCACCTTTCACTGCAATCAACCATTCTTAGAAAGGAATGAACCCAAAACACCAAGGCTGGACTTACCACTTGGGGGGGAAAGATACAAGGTCCTGAGGAAAGCAAGACCTAGGTTTGATACTGAGCATGCACAGCCCCTCCTCTGCAGCTTTAACCTTAAAGGCAGATGCCACCTGCTTTCACTGATACAGGGTTGGATCTGAGACAGGGTGTAGCTCAAGCACTACTGAGGTGCATGTGTGAGTCCAGAAAACTTCTTCCAAGAACACAAAAGACTGTCTCAACCAAAATATGGTATAGTTTTCTCAGTTTTTTCATCCAAAACAGGCTTGGAGCTTCAACACTTTGATCTGTCCCTGGGTGAATAGTAGAGTTTGTGGTTAAAGCAGAAATAAGGTATCTCAGTAAAGCTGTTGTGCTGTGTTTCAAGAGACCCAAGCATCTCCAGCTCTCCTTAGCTTCCCTCAGAAGCTGGACCCCTGCAATGATTTGTGTTTCTCCTACATGATGTGCAAACTCTTGGAAACTAACAGTGTCTTTTATAGGTGCCAAACTTCATGGCTTGGTGTAAAGCTACAGTGTAAAATCTTGCAAGAAGAAATCTTTCACAGTAGGGATGAGCAAAATAATTTGGAGGTTTTTTTGTGCTTGTTGCCAAAGTTATAGAATGGTGCTTTCTGCTTCTCCCCAGCAAATGGCTACCAATAGTGTACAATTTTCTGTCACTTGCTCTGTAGTCCTTAGTCAGTGGACAAGCAGATGGGGGTCAAAGAAGCCCTTCTTTGTAAACTACAGATTTTGTGGGCAGTTTGGTTTGGGGTTTTTGTTTGTTTATTTGTAGGGTTGGGTTTTTTTCTCTTTTTTTTTTTTCCCACAAGACATATTCCTCTAAAGGATCTGTTCATGAAGTATTTAGGAAACCTTGATGCAAAAAGAACATCTACTCTTACGAAGAAAGCACATCCACATTATACAAATGTACCCAAAGAATAATTTATAATGTCTAAATAATAATATCTAATATGGCTCATTTTATTCATAGCTCTCAGAGTGCTCTAACAAAGGAAGACAGTGTAATTTACATGTGGGAAAACTAAGGTACCAGGTGGTCATAGGATTACTCATCACTACTCAGTAAGACAGTTGTGCAGCCAGAAATGCAACCTTGGTCACTTGAGTCCCAGTCTGGTGTTGCTCTAAAAGGAGTTTGTGCTTGTCTAGATAGAGAAATTCAGAAAGACCTTAATTTCTTCAGGTAGAGTATGCACTGCACTTCCTAGAGCAAGAAACTCCCAAACCTAATTTATCTGCAGGGACCAAAATGCTGGTGCCTAGTAATGAAAATAAAGGCTGCAGAAATGCTGTGACCAGCTTCAAGCCACAGTCAGAATTCAGGGTGGAAGTAGAATTCAAACCCATAAACCCAGACTAAAAACTAATCTTTCTTCCTGGATGCTTACAGCAGTTAACCCCTTAGCAGACCTTAATACATGCATAGACTAATATATTAGCCTCAAACTCCAAGCGTTGTGGGCTGGATAGAGAAGACACAGAGCAGAGAAGTTGTCAGCCTCAGCTCCAGCAGTCCTAATCCATGTGCTTTCTGCTTTCTCCAGTTAGACCTTGACATGCATCAGAAGCAAAGGTAAACAAATGGTTTAAAGTTCATTACTATTACACTTAATTGCCTGAAACTTGGGGTTGTATTTTTAGTTGAGTAGGGAGCAGGCTACTTTTCAGATCATACCTTTAAAACTCAAGGAACTTGGCAACCCACATACTGCTAGAATTCCCCCTGCACTGCATTTTAACACTGCAGTGATTTGTAGACATTGCTACCTGATGGAGCTCACAGCTGTGCAAGAGGAGAAGGAAGCAGGGTCTAGCAGCACAGGACAAGCGTGCACCTCACATTCACTGTCATCTGGAATTCCCCAAAGTGTGGAGCACGCTTGTCCCCCACAGCTGCATCAGCCACCCTAAGCTGGTAAGGCACATCCTGGAAGCACCCATTAGAGACCTCTGGTAATCAAACAAGTTTATGGTTGCAAAGCAGGAAGCCAAAATGAAAGTCAACTGGGGAACAAGCAGGCTCTCAACCCTCTCAGAGAGGAGATTGATGTTGAATTTCAGGGATCTGTATTGAACCCCAGTCTATGCCTCTGTCTGTGTCTACTTCATAAATAAACAGTCCCCTGCCCTGCACTGTACTGCATGTTTTCCTGTTTCTCTCCCTGATTCATAGGTCTTGGCTCATGTGAACCCAGAAGAGACAGCAGGTCCTGCTGATCTGCACTCACAAGTATTTTTTCTAATCCTTTAGATTTCTAGCCCAGCTTTCAGATTTACCTTTTGAAAATTAGACTTCCAGCAACGTCTTTAAATTCTTCAGATTTTCCTACCATATAACACTGTTTAATGTGTTGGTCCTAGAAAATATCCCTGGAAGAAGACTGGTGAATGCATGAGTTTGGAAGGGTGAATATAAAGAATAACAAACACCAACAGGTTTTTTTTGAGACAGAACATAACTTTCACCTATGTTTCAAATGTCCATTCTTTTTTTACCAGATCCCATATTTTCAGATGTTTCCCAGATCTGATATCTCACTAAAAAGGATGTGAAGAGCAGCCTGGGTTATGGGGAGAGGCAGCTGAGAGAAAAGTGGTCCAGTAGCACATAGATGTGCACTAGAGAATGAAAGAAGCTAACTGCCCAAAGCCTAATCTTAGAAGTAGCCACCAATTAAGGAAATATAGGGAACACAGGAAGGAAGTCAGAGTGAGAGTGGCGAAGGGTTGTGACACTGATGGTGTCCTACAGCATCTGTTGAGGACAGTCTAAGGATGACTGTTGTCTTCTTCCTATTCTCTAGCCAAATGACACTTTTATTGATCACAGCCTGTTTCAGTTGTGAGATGTATGATATTTAGAGGAATTAAAGCAATTTTGTCTCAGAGAAATGCTGATTGTGTTGCTTACAAAATCTCTGTATTCTGCTAAAGTCTACTGTAAAATTGGAACCTGATCTCTCTGTGACATAGATTTCCCTTTTGGAAATGTATGTGTATGAGCTGAATGGAAAGGGGTAAGAAGGGGTGGCTTGGCTTTCTGGTTCCTCTTTATTCAAGCCTTCAGTGCATGGGCATGACTGACCTATATCAAATAAAGTGAAACTGGATGCATAGAATGATCCTCACAAATCACCGCACTGAAAAACATGACGGGGATTTTCTTTCATTCATCACCTTCTTTCAGTTAGAGTCATCTTGTGTAAGACTATGCATCCGCCTAAATGGATGCAGCATTTGCAGCTTTGTGGTGGCCCCTCAAAGCACATTATATCAGTGCAGCCTTGGGCCCCACACCAATGCCCTGCTCTAGTGTTGACAGCAGAGCTCCTTTGGGAGAAAAAGGCTCTCTCTGAACCCCCTTTGCTACCATGCTGAGAGGCTCCCAGCTTGGCTACTGCATGGCCTGCTCCCTGCAAACTGCTGGGAATGGCTTCTGGAAGCAGAAGGAGTTCAGAGTACTATCAGTAACACTTAGAGCTCAGGAACCCACCACATCTCCTATCTATACCTCATCACATCTGCTATTTACATGTCATCATTATCAGCTAAACAACAGTAACCACTTCTACATGACAGAGGTATTTCTTTGTCCTCAGGGCTTCAGAGGCACCATCCCCTAATTATTGGAGCAAGTCACCCTTAATTCTCCTTTTTTTCCCTCCAAGGATTCCTTCAGCATCTTATGAACTTTCCAAGACCTCTTTTATCTCCCACTACAACCTTAGACACCCTCTTCTCCACCTTTCCCTTCTCACCCATCCTTGGAAACTACCTCCTCACCCAGTCGGGAACATCTCCTCCCCTTCTTCTCAGCCCTGACACCCACTCCCTTTCTCAGCAGGGGCTGAGAGAGATGGAGCTTTGGCCAAGGTGAAAGCACTGACACAACAATTCTCCCACCTGCCCACTGCAATTGGTGCTTTCTAGTCTGGGGTACAGAGCCCTCCTAACCTCCAGAAGACCACCCAGGAGCCTGAGCAACCCATGTTGGGAAACCCAGAGTTAGAGCGTAAGCCTGATGGAGATCAGGACATCCTGAAGAGGCAGTGCCCCTGTTCATCCTTGCCTTTCTGTTCCTGACATATAGCCCTGCCACCACATTTGTAAAGCACACAGAGACCATCACCGTTCCATCTCCAGGGAAACATG